AGCTGGAATCCATTCATAGCATTTATAGTAGAGTGATCTTGTGTCTAATCTGTGGTACACAAATAAGCAAAAACCCCCACTAAAAATAGAAGGCAGAATTTCACAACTCAGAGTACTAACGACTATATAATCATGGGCTCAACGTTTCAATCCTTTGAAAATATTAAAGAAGAAACAAGTGAAAAACTAACCCCACACTGGTGGTAGAGCCGTTTGCAATCAGTACTTCCTGACGGTAATCTGTTGCTTCTAGTTCCGGTGGTGAGGACACCTTTCCAAATATAAGAAGAGTAAAGAAGTCACCTCCCCAGCTGTCATCATCTTCCAACAGATTGAGCAAGACTATTCTGAGCACTACAGAAAAGGTGATGTAAACTTCGGAGGAAAATAGTAGATTTGTTATGCTTGTTTTTTCGTGTGTGTATGTGTGTGCACTGTATTTATTACTGTGTACCCATTGTTTTAGACAGCCCATCAAGCTCCTGATGATGATCAGCCATGTGTCTTTTTCGAGGAAAGGAATAGGGTGAATGAATCTCAACAGAAAACCAGGTAAAGTTTTAGTATAATTGCTTTATCTTGTAAAAGGTACATTGTCTCAGTTTTCCAGATTGAATATGTGTGATTGGAAACAATACAAATATATTTATGATAAGAAGTTGGGACCAGCAGTTAGCGTAATGGCTATTTTGCTAGACTCCCATGTAGTCGACCACAGTTTGAGTCCCGGACCCGGTGGCTTAAACTCACGGTGGGCGTGTGTGCATGCGTGCCCAAGATCCCAAGTGAAGAATGGAGGAGAAGGGATTGCGGCATGGCCATCCCCCTTGGGGGTGGGGGTGATTTCTCGCTTTCTGTCTCTCTTTCTCTGTCTGGGGGGCACACACACTCTTTAGCAAAAACCTCTCAAAAAAAAAAAAAAACACTTCACACTGGGTGCACTGGCGTGCATCTCAAGAAGAGAATGGAGAAAAAGGGATTGGGGTATTCCTATCCCCTCTGGGGATGATTTCTCACTTTCTGTCCCTCTGCTCTGGCAAAAATCTCCAAAAACAAACAAACAAGTAGCATGTTTTGGGGGCCAACAGTTGGCATAGTGGTTATGTTGCTGGATTCTCACATGGCTAACAGCAGGTCAAGTCTCAGACCCGGTGGTTTAAAAAATCACACCAAGTGAATATGCACCCCAGATCCCAGGAGGAGAATGGAGGAGAAGGGATTACGACATGGCCATCCTCCTTGGGGGTGGTTCCTCACCTTCCTTCTCACTGTCTCTGTCTCTCTCTGGCGAACTCATGTACCCTATGGCAAAAACCTCTAAGAAAAGAAAAAAGCAGTAATATGTTTTTAATAATTCTTTGTGTGATTGAGGAAGAATGCATCTCTGAGGTTCCCAGGGGTGTGTTTACCACCCGTTTCTGCTTGTCCCATATGATCTCTGTTACAGAAGAGCATTATTCACCTCAGTCAAATACTCGTGGGTCATCGGGAAAGTCATGATGCTTTTTTGCATAGAAAAACATCGAAAAATGTTATGACTTTGCTGACAACCTAATATTTTCTTGGAAAGTAAATTAAAAAGGATTTTATTGTTGTTATTTTTTAATTTACCAGAGGGTATGTATACTCACCAGAGAGAGAGACAGAGAGAGAGAGGGAAAGTGCAAAAGCTCCCACCCTGTGGGAGATGGTGACTCTGCAATCCTTTCTCCTCCATTCCTCCTTCTGGGAGTTTAGGCACACACGCACACGGGCCCAGCCTGGTTTTCAAGTCACCAGGGTCTAGAGCTCGAATCACAGAGTTGGCCTCGTGAGATCCAGTGCCTTTATCACCATGCCACTGGCTGGCCTGAAAAGGATATTTTTAACTCTGATGTGAGATTCTGCCTCAGAATCAATTACTCCAGAAAGAATCAGTTGCTATGTTAGTAATGAACACAGTATTCAGTATTTCCCTTTACCTGCCTTTCATATGATAGCATTACTACAGAGGCCAGCAGGTAGTGTGGTGGTCAAGGCACTGGACTCCCACATGGCTGACCACAGTTCAAGTCCCAGATCTGGTGGCTTGCTTTATCACTTTCCCTCTGTCTCTGTCTCTCTCTGTCTGTCTCTGGTCAAATTAAAATAAATGAATGAATTAATAAAATTAAATAGTTCTTTAAAAAGATAGCATTACTTCTAATTTTTTAATTCATATCTTATTATATGACATCATATAATTTTATTTTGGTCTTTTTAAACATAGAGTTCCTGTGCGTGTTTCACATTTGCACATATTTTAATAAGCTTTTGGCTTAAGATATAGGTAGTATATGCTGCACTTTTACATATATTTTACTTAGCTGAGAACTAATGCTTTAGCGATGGGCCACCCGATGGCGTGGAGATTAAGGCACCAGATTCCATATGGCTTACTTTGCGGTGTGAGTGCTGGACCCTGAGGCTTGAAAAGCATGCCAGGTGTGTGTGCATGCATGCCCCAAATCCTGATGAGAATGCAGGAGAAGGGACTGTGGCATGGCCATGCCTCCAGAGGGTGATTTCTTCCCTTTCCTCTCTCTCTCCCCTCTCTTTCTCTGTCTCTCTCTGGGGAGTGCATGTGCCCTGGAGCAGAACTGAACAACAACAGAAAAAAACACCCAGTAATCAGTGATTAAGCTATGTAGAACTTGCATTTTTATAGTATCTTTACTTTTAAAATTGGTATATTAAAGAAAGCTGTGGATTTTATTTCTAAATGTTAATAAACACTGTTGATTATTAACAGAACAGATTGAGTTCTATGACAGATTGTTTTCCAAACTAATGTTTTTAAAGTACACAATTTATCTAAAATGGCAAAACAAGCATGGTAAGAAATGCTAATATTTTACATAAATGCTAATATTCGCTATAAAGTAGAATTCGTGCATTCATTTTTGGCACATGTATTATATAATGTTACTCAAATAGAATATTACATGGACGAATGTTTTATAAGACTACTTCTGTAAGGATTTTGGAAACCTTAAGTTTTCTAATGCCAAGTAGAGGGATCTTTTTGTTTGTTTAATCACTGCTTTTGTCATACGTAGTAAAAATTGCAGTCTTATTTTTCATCGCAGTATGAATGCTGGCCCATCTTGGACTAAAGTGCGTTTGAAGACTTCTTCAGGAGGAAGGCAGAATAAATCCCAACTACCCCAGCATTCTCCCCAGCTGAGGAGCAGCTTTGTCAGTGTCTCCCGACCCCCCGCAGATCGAGAAAGCATTTCCTTGGAAGGAGCACCTGAGAGGGATCCACTGGGTCCCAGGTGTCAGGGGTCCTCCGGCCACAGACTGTTTCTCGACTTCCAGTCAATGAAAATTATTAAAGACAGTGCCGATGAGGACAGTGCAAGCGATCTCTCTGATTCAGAAAGAATTCCCATTCCTCCTTCTCCTCTCTCTCCTCCAGATCTTAATCTGCGAGCTGAAGAAATTGACCCTGTTTGCTTTGATCTTCACCCCACTCAAGGCTACCCTAAGCCTGAATACTGTTACCCTGACTTCCTCCCCCCGCCTTTTAGCTCCTGGGACCTACGGGACATGGCCCTGCTTCTGAACACAGAGCCCAAGACCACAGCCATCCCCCGTGTAGGAGGGCTTCTCGGGAAGTACATCGACAGACTTCTGCAGCTCGAGTGGCTGCAGATTCAGACCACACAGTGTGAAAAAGGAAAGGGGCCCAAAGCAAGGCTTCCCGCTGCTCCTGGGGCTCCAGGGGCGCTGAAGAGCCCCGGGAGAAGTAAGCTCCTTGCCAGTGCTCTGTCCAAGCCACTACCTCACCAGGAAGGGGCTTCCAAGTCAGGCCCTTCGCGAAGGAAAGATGTTCACCGCGAAGAAATCCATCCATCATATTATGCATTTGAGGCTGTCCCCAAGCCCATTGATGTTCTGGGTAGTAGCAGGTTATGTCCCCAGAAGCAAACCCTCGACCTGAGGACTGTGGAGAAGAAAAAGAAAGCAGCTAAGAGTGCCAAGCTGCCACGCCGGGAGCTCTCCTGCAGTGACAACCTGAAGATGGAAGCCAGTGGGAACATTCGCATTCCCAAACCATCAGCAGTGGTCCTGGACCCCACAGACCCCTGCAAGACCTCCAGAACACAAGCACATGCAACTCTTAAGAAAAAGGGAAATGCCAATGGCTGTCATGCCGCGGTATCCAGTGAGAAAAAGCTCAAAGCAAATGGAGCCAAGCAAAACGGTTACAAATCAAAATGACATCTGAAAGGGTGAATTGCATAGACCCCAGGATATTAGAGCTCTTCCAAAAATTGCAATACTGTGAATTTTAAGAAAATGTATGATTACTGGTGTTTAAGTAGTTGCTTGACTCTTTAGCCTACTGTCCTCCGGGGCAGGGTTCTTTCCAGAGAGGTATCTCTCAATAAACCCTCCTTTGTATTGCCAGTTTTAAGCAAATGAGTGCCCTTTAGGTAAACAGTAACTCCAGTATATGCCGTGTACAGCCATAAAGCAGCAGCTCTCCGGAGAAGAGCCCAGGAAGCTTCTGAAATAGCAGCTTGCACCTGTGTGTGTAAAATAGTGCATCCTGCTTAAAATGGTGTAGAATACAAAATATTTGGAAGAAGGCCCTTCTCTCCACTGCCTCTTGCTTTTGCATAAACCAGAATGTCTGTTCCTTTTACCTCGAGGAGAAGCTGCAGTCCTCGCTAACTTGAGAAATAACGTGAGCTTCTATCTGGAGCAGTCATTCATCACTCAGCTACTTGCTCTCTACAAACAAGGCACCTAGTACTTGAATGCATTGTTTTCTCACTTTTTAAAAGGGTGTTTAAATTCAGAAGCAGTGGTGAAGCCCACTTCTGAGTTCTCTAACCTGAGGTTGAGAACTAAAATAATTTGCAGACTTTTCCAGCTAGAAGGTTAGAAGGTTTAATTAAGCACGGTTGTGTTGTTTTGTGGTGGTGGAAGTGAAATATTTGGTATCTAGAACTTCTGGCATCTAGAGGTGCCATAGGAACAATACCTTTCAGAGTTTGTAAAGAAAGGGCCTCTCACAGGGTAAAAACTGCAGGGAACCACTTGGAATGAAACGGTTACTAAGTTGCTGGTTTAGAACCCAGATCTGTTGGCTTAGTTGAAGATACTACCATGTGTTCATTTGGAAGAGCAGGATGCTATAATTTTTCTTAAGGAATTAGGGCCAGAGGGAGCACCTTCAGATGGAGGGAGAGCAGACCTGGGTGAAAGTTCCAGAACGCATCCCGCATACCCTGGTCTGGTCTTACGGCTCCCTCGCTAGTGGAGTAGCATTTCCCGCGCTGTGGTTCTAAGCCCTTTCTGTTGGTACGTGTGAGCGTCTGTAAACCCTTGCCAATACACAGTGCTTTAAGGATAGTGGTTTATTTCATCCCTTTAAACAATTACTGTATGTATTTTCACACACATTTCCACTTTTGGGCAAGGCGTTTGAAAGTGTACGTTATAGCTTACAAACTTTTCCTACTGCAGTAAATGTCATCAGAAACTACCTAAGACAGGATGCATCTAAAATTTAAACAGTGTACAAAGGTTAAATTTCAGGATCTCTTCTAATCTAATTTTAATCATCCTGTACAATGTAAGGAAAATGTGTATGGTACCCTTTTTCTTTCAGGGCTTTATTTTCAGGTTTCTACAGCTTCCCTCTTATTATTTTTTAGTGGGTGAGAAAGTCTGGGGGCGTGGAGAGAGAGATGGGCATTTTTGACAGGACTCACCACAGCAAGATCCACCCTGCCCTGGCCTACCAGCAGTTAGGGTTGCAGGCACCAAGCCACTGTGCCCAGATGTTCAGGTCGGGCCAGGAACCCAGCTCAGCCTCGCATGGCCTCATCGTCGCATGGTGGCATCCCTCGCTTCCGTCACACGCCAGACCGTCCCCTTCGGTCTTTCTCTCCCACACCGTGCTGGAGAAAGCGTGTCCCTACACCCAGTTCTTCCTCCCGCCGTTGTGTGTGAGCGGACGCACAGACAGTGAGCTCGCTTCCGTAGTCCCCAGTATGCTGTAGCGTTGGTACTCTGTGTGGACTGCATTTGGGAAACATCGAACTACTCCATTTCCCTTCCTGTGGTTCCTGCGGGGACCCCATCCGTCCCTTGCCTGCCCTGTTCCTTGTGAGAAGCACAGATTAGTCTGTAACCCATGGCTGGCTCCTCACTCCTCATTCTTACTCGGCTAGGTTTTTATGTAGCTGTTTATGGCGGTGCGTGGAGGCGAAGTCTCCGTAAGCGTGGCATTACGCACGTGTGGTCATTACAGGGATACGAGCGGGTTTATGCTGCCCTGCCGCCTTTCCCCGTAATGTGTCTGCTCTAAGAAACCGCGAGTGGGCGAGGAGGATGTGTTTTACTCTTCCTTGCTTGGGGTGTGCCGAGCTGAAATAATGAAGAAATTTAGACGTGCCGCCTTGCACAGTCGTCCCCAGCTCTTGTAACCGAAGCGGCTGCTTACCTGGGAATAGTCACAATGTCAGTGTTCAGTTTTAAAAGCTTGAAAAAGTGACTTAGACTGCCTACTTTTGGCCTCAAGTTGGTTGGTTGTTTTAATCAGCGTTGTGATGACTGGATCAGTGTTTCTAATGGATAGTGGAGATTCTTAAAGTTAGATTTAAACAGAATCCACAAAAGCACAATTTCGACTTGACGATTTCTGGTTCACGTCCCTAACACACCTTGGTGCGCCACGTGCTGCCAGTGGGAACCTGCTGCTTCCAGTGGGCCCGCGGGAGAGCTGAACCACGACCTCGTTCCACTCGTCAGTCAGAGCATGGGTGTCCTGCTAGTCTAGTGACAGGAGTCGTCGTGTTTCCGAGAAGTGCCTCTCAGTTCTGGGGAGCTGTTTATATAGACATTGCATCTCAACCAGTTAAAGCAATCCAAAGTGGAAGATAACCCAAAGGAATGTAAGAAAAGTGTTTCCGGCTATGATTCAATGAGAAAAAATCTCAAGAAAGTCCAGAAACCAGCCACACCATGTATCAGTATTTACCAGGGCTATTTAGGGTTAGGCCATTTCTCAAATCTTTCAGTGACCAAACGGGCTGAAAGTTGGTCACTACCTGAATGCGGTAGAACTGGTGGCCTGCGAGGGAAAGCTGGGGGAGGGGGTCACAGTCTTAGGAAAGCTCATAGGTCTAAGGAAGATGGTTTATAGTGGCTCTTGGGCCTATGAAGTTACTTAAGAAAAATAAAAGAATTTCTACCTTACATGAGATATACATATCGTCTATATCCTCTCTCCTTTATGCTTGTTTACTTGAGCAGTTAAATAAAACAAAAAACTTGGTGGTACTGTATTTCAAGTCGTATTTATTTATGTATGTATGTACACAGGGCATTATTCAACATGGCCTGAAAACATTCAGCATGTTTGTTATTTGCTGTTCTAATGGTTGTGTGTTTGGTTTTTATGTACTATAACAGAATTCATGTACATTTTTGTGAACTTGAATTTTTCCTTCCCTGAAGGATTAAAATTAAACGGCAGAAAAATATTGTCTGGGTTTTTCTAATGTGGCTGTTTTGCTTTGTATGCAGTTCTCTTTCAAAGTTTATCTTTATTTCCTCCCTGGTTATTTCGAAGAATTACGCAGGACGAAATTTTGTTCCTATTTCCTGTCTTAATACCAAGTGACATACACTTCACCAAAGCCCAGGTTACCGTTACCAGACCCATCCGAGAGCCATTGTTCTCATGGTGCCCCTCTTCCCCTTACTACCCAACAACAGTGTTGAGACTTAGGGGAGCAGGATGCTCATTTGGCAAGCATAAAGTTAAAGTCACTTGTGATACAAAAACCTCGCCCTAGCTTGCACGTCCGGAAGCGAGTGCCACCTCTGTCCAGAAGGGAACCTGACTAGCAGGTGGCCGTTTCGAGCAGCCCCTGCAAACATCGTGAAAGGCCTCCTGCTCCTCTTTCTAAACTCACTTCTCACAACCAGACACATTCTTTCGAGCCTAACAAATTGTGGCAGAAGTGTTTAGGGGGTTAAAACACACTTTTTTTATATGGTCTATAAATGAACCAGGCTGGGAGTTTTAAATCATAGTTTACACAGACAATGGTGGATTGTTTTTGGATGTTGCTGTTCTTAGCCACGAGGTGGCGACTAAGCCTTTTCAGATGGCGAATGTGTCCCTCTCAGCAAGTAAAAAGGTTTGTACTGGAATCCAAAAGAAGTGGGAGAGAAAAGGACGGGTTGGCTTCAGCCACGAAGCATGTTCTTTATTTAGCTTCTCTCTCAATTCTTCACTTAAATTCTCACCGGAGAATTAGATGGTTTTATGTGCAGTTAGGTGCTGTGGAGGGACTTCCACTTGTTCAACATTGCCATGTCATAAAACACCGTAAGTAGCATAGAATAATGCTCTGCCAAGTTCCGTAAATCATTGATTTGTAAAAAAACTTCATAGAGATCTCATTTCATGAAACAATTCAAATATCCCTGTCTCCAGCAATTTAATATTTAAGGAATTAACTATAACAACACTGGAAAATATATAGGAAATTAAAAAACGGGACAATCATGAATGTAACTTTGTACTAGAGTGAATTATTGTTTATTTTTTATATTTTTGCTGTAGGGCTCATGTGCTTGCTGGAGAGAGAGAGAGAGGGAAAGTGAGAAATCTCTCCTCAGAGGGGATGGCCACGCCAATATCCCTTTTCCTCTATTCTCCTCTTGGGGTTTTTAAGGCATGAATGCACATGTGTGTGGTATGTTTCTTGAACCGCTGGGTCCAGGAGGCGAACCACAGAGCTGGCAATTAGGACCCAGCGCCTTAACCACCACGTTACCTGCTGGCCCCTTAGTGAAACTTTAATGAAATCTGATGGTGTGTGTGCAACTGTAGGTTAAGTTGGGGCAGTGGCTTGTCTTGCTGATACTCCACTGCGATGAGTCAGATGCTTTTTCTGTTGTTATTTTCATTTTTGTGTGTGGCGTGTGTGCGTGTGCCCGTGCGTAGTTTAGGCTATGGTGCAACTGTGTTGGGCGAGGGGGAGAGTGGGAAAGAAATCACCCCCACCAGGGGACTTCAGAGAAACCTGCACCCAGGTCCCTAGAAGTCTGGGGTGGCTGCTTCAGGGTCCTCAGTGGCGGGCAGGCCCGCCCTCCACCTGCTTCTAAGGAAGTCCTCCGCTCATCTGTGCCTGTCCTCTGGGCCAGGCACTTGGCTGGCTGTTCATCTCCAGCATTGACAATACGGCGAGTGATTACGGGGCTGATCACCTGCCTGCCCAGTGCCTGCAGAGCAACGAGGTTTCTCAGGGGCTCAGCCTCAGCCGCTTCACCTCGCCACGTTTCCCTTAGAGCAGCCACGTTCTAGTCAAACCCTGCGTCTCCCGTCCTGCCCCCACTCCATCAGGTGGGCGGGTCAAAGGTCTGCCACCTGCTGCACCCTTTCCTCTAAACCCACTGCCTCAATAAAGTGAGGGCGAACAAGAAGACTTCGCTTTTCCCCGTGGGTTTTTCAATCTTCTCAATACTGGAATGAAATGATTGTTAGCTCTAGAATGTACACTGAAATGGCCTAGTGAGTTTAATGGGAAGTTTTCTCGTTAACTATATCTATTTTTATTAAATATATCGAGATGAATATACAGATTTGTGTATATCCTTAACCTCGGCGGGATGGCATTTGCTGTGGGGGAAGAAGCCAAACAGGCTCTTGTAGCTGTCCCTTGCCCGAGCCCTTCCCGTCTCCTTCCCTAAAGAAGCCTAAGGAATTCCTGTCCACAAATGGCTGAAGAAAGAGCTTGGCAGTTTTACTGTCGATATTACGGCTTTCAGGATGTGCTAGTGGGAAGGACCCCACATGATCCATGTATGCCTATCCCACTGTGCCTAACTCCCCTGTGTATTATTAGCTTTTTGTTTGTTTTTGTTTTTTCTCCAATTTCTCATCCACAACTATTAGTGAAAACAACTGAGGCAAGAGATTCAAATCTCTCAAAGGGAACTTTCTGGCCACCTCCGCGCAGGCCTGTCCCTGTGCCAGGCCTCCATCTCCCCTCTCTGCAGGTGAGTCCACCCTCCCTGCCCGCCACAGTCGCTGGAGACAGGTTAGAGGGCATGCCTAGTCACTTCACTTCGTGGGCTGCTTCTGGGTCCACACGACATGCTGAACAGAGGTAGAAGTCGACCCTTTTCTGCCATCCGTTCCTGAGTCCTGCTGTCTGTCAGAGTCCGGATAAGACTCGGGAGGCACCGTCTGAATGGTGGTTGAGGTGCTGGACCCCACATGGCTGAGCGTGATTTGAGTCCCGAACCTGGCAGCTTGCTTGTTCACTTTCCCTTTCTCTCACTCACTGGTGAGTGCATATGTCCCATAATAAATTAATGGTGAATGAATAAATAAATAAATAAATCTTTAGGAAAAAGGAGAGAGAAAAGGAAAGTTTATTGAAAACAGGACTGCCCCAGGGGACAAAGGCCAGAGATGCCTCAGAGCACCTGCCAGGAGGGAGGGTTTTCTTTCATAGGGTAATCAAGCTAATTTGGGAGACTGTGTGTGTGTGTGTGTGTGTGTGTGTGTGTGTGTGCCTGTGGTGTGTGAGACTTACATCCAGGGGAATTAGGCACAGTGGGATAAGCATACATGAAACATTTGGTGGGTCTTTTTGTCTCTCTGGGGAGTCTGACCTCCGGGACTCGCTTTGGGCCTTTACCTGCTACTTCCTGGGTCAGCATGACCTTGCAGAAGGGCCCTGGAGTGTGGGCTCTCACCAAGTCAGCCTCGGTTCCTGTCAGGCCCGAGTGACACCAAGCGGTGTCAGAAGAGCTTTACTGAGTGGGACCTTCCTCCATCCCCTTCCCTCTGTTCCTCGCTACTTTCAGGGAACCCGAGCAGCCCGGCCACTGGCCACCGTCTGAGCTCAAGTCTGCGCTGGTGGGCATGCCAGGTCTCGGTGTGCCAGTCACCCTCATCCTTTACTGGTGGTTCCCTCATGTTCCCATGTGGGTTCCCAAGGTGGCGAGAAAGTCCTGTATCACGGGGAGCCTGTGGGCGCCTCTCCGAACCTGCAGCGGCAGGCAGCTGGCCTTCCCCTGCCGCTGCCCTCAGTGGAGGGGTGGGCCGAGGGAGACTGGGCAGAGACGCCGACTGGGGGTGAAGGATCAGGTGTGCCGTATCTGGGGAGCCCTGACGAGTCTGGCCCCAACTGTGGGTGAGTGTCTCTGGGGTGCCATGGCTTTAACGCTTCTTTACTCTCAGCGAGGACCCTAACCGCCGAGTCCTGGGCCAGAGTTACAGAACCCTCCCCTGCACTGCTCCTTTCTCTGAAGAGGAATAAATGAACAAGCCCAACTGGAAATGCCGCTTGGGGAGTGTCTGCCATTTGCTGGAACTGTTGTTGACAGAAAATTCATCATGAAATTAATCCTTAGAAAAACTCGTGACATGGTAAACATGAAAAGTCAACCAAACAAAACCCGAGAAGGCGAGGTGGGGCAGGCACCCGAGCACTGGGCAGTGAACTGCAGCGTGGACCTCCCTGTCCTCACCAGCTCACCTTCACCTGGCAGTCGCATTCCTCCAGTGCCAGCTTCCTGGGAGCTGGGAGCTGCCACCCGGTGGCCAGAAAGTGGGTACTACTCCCCAAAGCATGGAGGAGCCCCAGTTTGTTGTCACTGGAGTCAGGTACTTAGAGCAGAAAGGGAACCTTGGCGTCTACATCAGACTCACCCCAGACTCGCCCTCGGTGTGCAGAGTCCCCGGCTGTGTCCATGGCCCTGTGCTCTAACCTGGGAGCATGGCCCCCGGGATCATGCGTTTTGCTCAGTTACTTTTACACATTTGAGGGTGTTGATTCTCAGCATGGCTGTTTCTGGTATCTTAAAATACAATTTCTCTCAACTTCCTTATAGAAGTGGAATCCTTCACTAGGCGAATGCATTGTCTTTCTTAACTCAGTTTTTTGGAAGGTTTTCTTTTTCTTTTTTTCTTGAGAGGTTTTCACTACAGGGCATGTGCACTCACCAGAAAGACAGAGAGAGAAAGAGAGATAGAAAGCGAGAAATCACCCCCCAGGGGGTTCGGCCATGCCATAATCTCTTCTCCTCCATTCTCCTCTCGGGATCTTGGGCACGCACACACACCCGCCCAGTGTGAGTTTAAGCTGCCAGGTCCAGAACTTGAACCGCAGTCGACTAACTACATGGGAGTCCAGTGACATAGCCATTACGGTAACTGCTGGTCCCAATTTTTTTGAAGGTTTTTGCCACAGGATACAAGCACTCGCCAGAGAGAAACAGAGAGAGACAGTGAGAGGGAAAGTGAGAAATCACCCCACAG